GAACAAGCTCACGTCCCATTGCACAGGCCGCGAAACATCATCATGCTGCTAACTCGCTCTCTTTTATCATTGGTTTGATAGCACTTATGCGCACAATAGGTATGATGGCTTGTTGTGCAAGTGATTATCTCATTTCGAGGTAAGCTAGTCTTGCACCCTCCCATACTTCCAGCCTGATGATCGAATGCACAGGAGATCATCCAAGAACAATACCATCAGCAGATTTTCGCTGCACTTATTCCGACCCTCGAAGCACCAGAGCCTCGGTGAGCAGCATTGTAGCTTTCTTGTTCTCTCTGACTGCCTTCTTGTGCTGATCATTCACTATGCTGCAGAGTACATGTGCATGCGGCTGCGGCGCTCATCAATTTCTGTGAGGGTATCGAACGCGAGACGCTCCCACCATATCGTCGAGCGCCTGCTTCGTTTGCTCAACCCTGCAGCAGCCGACGGTATGAAGTCGCCAAAGCGATATGTCCAAGAGCAGGTTATGACGACGCTCGCGATGGTTGCCGATGCGAGTGAGGCGACGTTCGCGAAGGTGGGTATCAGTTTCCCGTTGTGCGATGAGGATTCGCAAGGCGTGAACTGATGGTACCTTGTAGCACTATTTGTCTATTATGCCGTTATTGCTTAACGTGCTTCAAAATGCGAATGGGCCGGAATACCGCAAGCTGAGGGTGAAGGCTATGGAATGCGCAGGACTGATAGGTGCGGCTGGCTAGCTAAGAACGTCCTCCCGCCATCATCCTGACACTGCTGCACCAGCCATTGCAGTCGGCAGAGACGTCTTCAGACCCGACGCAAGCACCTTTGTCAACTTGTTGATGAATATCCAGAGTATGTGATTCTTTAATGTGTCCTGTTGCTTAGACATCGATGCATTTGGATGCTTGCAGACGGCCCACCCGATCCGGAGGATGCTATGTTGGGCTACTACTTAACTTCGGGGCGAAGGTCTGTCAAGCAATGGGCCCTGAGTTTGAGCCATATCTGCCCGTCGTAATGCCACCTGCTGCAAGCAGCGAGCGCTAAAGCTGACGTCTCCATCTACGGTGCGTTGTCTTGTTTGCAATCGTAAGTATGAGGCGATATGTCTGACCATTTGTAGACGAAGACGAGGATCCAGAAGAAAAGGAGGGCTGGGAGATGGTCAGCATGGATGGACAAATGGTCGGGATTAAAACATCTGGGCTCGAAGAGAAGTGTCAGGCGTTCGAAACCCTCGTGATTTACTGCTCGACGCTAGGTGTGCGATTCGCGCCGTATCTGACGCAGTGTCTCGAGCTTGTGCTCCCGTCTTTGCGCTTCTATTTCCATGAAGGCGTTCGAGAAGCCTGTGCAATGTATGAATTCATTCTGTCCATGGCTTGTTTGTACCTGACGATTGCTTCGTGCATGCTAGGTTGATCCCGATGCTCATGTCGTGTGGAAAGAACAGCGGCACGCTCACAAATCACATGGTCTCCGCCACGTTCTCCCAGGTGGTGAATTGTATCGGAGGCGAGACCGACGCCTCCTTCCTTGCGTCGCTATACAAGTGCTTTAGCGACTGCACGCGAGTGCTCGGCGGGCCCGCTGCTCTACCTGTCGAGATCAGCGACGGAGTCATGGAAGTGACGAAGCGCTAACTGCAGAATCTTGCCGACAAGCGGAAGGCACGCGCAGCGCGGCTAGCATTGGAGCTGGGTAACGACAAAGACGATTTGATGTTGATCGAGGAGATGGAGGACTTCCCCCTTGAGGATATGGCCAAGATGCTTATGCCATTTGACGCAAACCACCCGCTGCTGATCGCGATATCGAGTGTACGGGAGCTGGGACTTCATTTGGGTCAGTGGGACAGCGAGGATGAGGGTGGTAATGAGGGGTAATGATCACGCTTCTTCAGGCGAGAGTCATGGGGTGTGCTTTCTTGTCGCTATCGAATGTCTTGTTGATCACTGTAGCCAAGATAGATGTGCTAACGAGGAGGGCCTATCATGTACCCATAACAAATGTTATAATTGTATCACAACGACACTCTTGGCAAATAAGTCTACAACGATGACCAATGATGCATCAAAGTCATTTAAGTAATACCTCGGGTTTAAAACTCCATACAGCGTACAGTGCAACCGAGCCACGGGTGGCTCCTCACAGTTGGTTCTGCGCCCTCGTATGGAATTGCGGAGCGAAGTGCGGTTCGCTCGGTTCGGTGTCAATGCCCTACAGATTTCGGGCGAACTCAGGGTGACGGCCCGTAGGGCGTCCGTTCCTCATGCGGCATGGCGCGTCGGTTACCCGATAGTGAGGTGTGTGAAGAAGATCGAGGGGGACCGTCGACGCCCCCCCCCCGCCTCCTCTGGTCACAAAGGCCTTGGCGGACGTGCCTGGGCACCGTCGCACCGGCCAGGTATGGGGACGGCGGGGCGTCGTCTACTGCGTCGCGCTCGTCCCACAAAGTGAGCAGACATCAGAAAAACGCCAGAACTTGTAGCACCCCGCTAGCGTGTCTATCGGCATATAAATTCGCGCCCAGTGTGCACGAAGCTTATCCGAGGAGAGTCCGGGGAGAGCTCTTCACTCTCTGAACTGTCGAGGTCGAGATGACCCGGAGGGCGCGGCGAGGTTGCCTTCACATAAAGGAGTTGCTGAGCAGGGAATAGATACCAAACAGACACGTAACCTCACATACCTTATTAGAACGCCGAATGAGGGCGAAGAGGTCCTCATTCGAGAGGCCGTTCACGACGGTTGGAGGAAGCTGCGCGAGATCACTGTTCCAACCGACGTTCCTGACCTCGAGGCTCTTGACGTCGAACTGAACGTCAATGCTCTTGTCTGGGTCGGGCGGGAGCTCGACGGCCTGCGCGATGACATCTGTGTCGGCCTGGATAAGGGGATTGCCATCTGGCGCGGTAGCAAGATTCTCCGTCGGTTCGAATCGAGCGTCGGGTTTGTCGACGGGACTCTAGAGAAATGGGTGAGTTGCTGTGTGGTCCATGGCGGGTCAGTGTGAAAGCTGTGGATGAGAGACAGCGGGCGGGGCACAACCTCTCAGCCCCGCCGCCCGTGCCTGGGCCCACCGCCCGACCTGATGTCACGCGTCCTCGCTCTCCGACGCGCCCTCTCTTCGGCAATAACAGTCTGAATTCAACGAAAACAATATACAGCAGAGCAAATAGCAAAACACCAATGATGACGGTGCACGGCTGTTGTGCGTTGAGTGCATCATCGTCCGCGAGGCCTCGCGGGCTGTCCTACACACAAGTCATTGCTCAGCTTGTAGTCAGCGGAGAACATCAATCAGGACTCAGTACTCAGCAATCAACAGCGCACAGCTGCTCCGTCCGGTCAGACAACCTTTTTTTCCTCATCAACATCAGGCTCCAGAACTCGGGGCCAAGTGGCAGTCTAAACAGAAAGGTGAGTCTAAACAGATTTGGTGATAGAATGGAAGGTATACTGTAGTAGAGACAGTGTCGTCCTCCCAATTGTACTAGTGATAGCATGCAAGATATGTCAGACCGATTACTGACACGAGATAACGAGATTGCACTTACGCAAGCACACTGACGCTGCTTGTAAGGGTGGTAACGACGCTGCTCGCGAGACTCAGCCCGGAATGGCTGTTGGTATCTCACCGTCGAAGAGACGTCTTTAGGCATTTTCAGAGACGTTGTAAGATGGAACGATGCTTACGGGGATGACACCAGCATTCTGTTGCTTTTATACAACTCTGATTCGGACTGCATCAGGGTCGACTGTAGCTTCGCGCGCACTGAGCCCAGGTCACCGCGACACCGCTCGAGATCCACTTTCGCTGCGCGTGCCGCATGTCGGTGGTCCTAAGTCGCGCAGTATCGATTCTGTGAAGACTTGCGCTTGACAGAGCCCAGCCTTGCTCCGAGTTTCGATCGCGCTTGAATGAATGTCTACGTACGGCTCTGTTAAGCGGTGCGTGCATCAGAAGAAGAAAGCGCTGACACACCTTCAACACGCCGTTCTTGAGCATCCATGATGCGGGATGCTGCTTTACGTGATTCCGTCTATCCACGGCGTTCTGTAGGCGTCCCCAGAGTCGACCATATTGAGTTGCAGTCGACACCTTGTTTATCGATCTCACTATAGGCGATTGCGTCACTGAACGAAACAGCCAGGAAACAGCGTGTACGGGGATAACAGGTGTGATGGAACAGTCGCAGTAGTAGGCCTCGTTTGCGCGCTCTAGTTCGGTTCAGTCTTCTCTCGCTTGTATCTGCACCTTGGCTCGTGTCCAACTGGTCATAGCATCCGAAGTTACGTGCATACAAGAGGATTTCTTGCGTGACAGTTCGCCACAGTGTGATCGTGATCTTCGTGCAAGAGGCTCAGGATCCCGAAAACACATTCCTGCACCTAGCTGGCGAGAGAGAATGTCACGCTTACGCGTAGTGCACGGGCGCGCCTCTATCAAGCTGAATGCATAAGAGATGGTCATCGGGGAGCGACAAATAAAGAGTGACGCTGGCAGCCTCGTTGTGTTCGATCGAGCGCTGTCCGAGTCCTCGTAGCTAGCAGACTCGCCTAGGGGTCAGAAGACACAATGTAGTGATGTGACGTACAGATATACAATATCATCACTGGCGCCGTCGAGGGTGCAAAGATTTCATTGTGTCAATGCACGGCTCGGCATGGCACGGATGAGGATCGCGAGGTCGAGGACATAACTGTATGAAAGGAGGCGTACGACCAGCGCATGTACGGCCAATTCTTCGAGGATCACAGAATAATTTTGTGGATTGGTGCCGAGCCCAGTACATTGAGATTGGCGAGAATCATAGCAGCGCACTCCGGGACAAAAGGAGAGGCGAATGATTTGAAAATGGGCGGCACGCACTAGGTCAGCGGATGTAACCATCAGCAAATGTGCGCCGCGTCTGAGATGGTCTGAGCCGTCTGATGGCGTCTGAGACACCTGAGCACTCTGACATACATGGGGCCCTCAGATAATTCACACCGGCCCAGATGCGTCAGACAATACATACATCGCGGGTAGACTACTAGTACATGTATACATAATTGAATTAAAACAAACCCTCGTGCGAATGATAGTCCGCGAACCTATTTACATAGTAAGCCCGGAACGCGTCCAGTGAATCGTAAGCCCGTAGATCTACAGGAATAAAATCACCCCCAAAAACTGGAATGAGATGTACAGCGCGCGCAACAGAATCTAAATGTATCACTTCTGATGGCCGCCGGCTGTCTTCATCCAGCTCTGGCTCTACTATCCACATCCCGGTATCCTCGTCAGGTTCGTCTCCAAGCGGCAAAAACCACTCGACTAGCGCACACGGATACAACGTACCAGAGTACCAGAATGAAAATAACAAGCGGACGCGTGCCGCATACATCCCACGGAAGCCGTCGAGGGTGGGGTCCTTATTGATGAGCACTGTGTCGTAGCGTGGTGCGCCGGATCGCCAAGATGGAGTCGCTCGGATGCGCTCACGTTTCATGCCGCCTCGTCCAGACAGATCACTGGGTGCGTAGAATGTCGCTACGGCTGAATGAAACACAGACGTCCGGAGACGCGGGCTGCGGTATTGGCTGGCGTCCTGCATTGGGGCCGTATTGTCATTGAGTTGTTGCAAAAGAAAACTTGCGACCAAGTCGACAAGTTCAGGGATTTGAAGCTGCTCGCCAAGCGCAGCAAGATGGCGGCAGTATCCTCTTGCTGTTACGGGTTTCAGTCCACCAGTTGACAAGCCATAAATATATGTACTCACCTGGGCGACGGGCTAGAGCTGTGAAGGCATCCACTGTAGGCCCGTCTATGGTATCTTCATCGTCGTCATTGTCCACAGCCTGCTCAGATTCTGCGGGCAGGTCATGCGGGAATGGCAGCACACCGTTGTTGTGCGCGCCATTGTCATTGGCCTGGGAATCTATTGCGGCGGACAGGCATGTTGCGTTGAGCATACCGCGGGCAGTGAAGTCGGCGCGTGCAGCAGCGAGCTTGTCAAGCCGCTGGTTAGTTAGAAGCATTTGCCCCAACGCATCGAAGCGGTTGGATCGTCGCCAAGGTTCCTTAACAGCCTTGATATGCTTCGACTCTGTTATTGAGGTACATAGACCATTCGGTGCGCCATAGTTGCGGATATGCCGAGGGAAATGACCCAATGAGTGTTGCCGTGGTGTTGAATAGCCATTAGGCCGTACCCCAGCGTCGCGGAAGATCTCGCGTTCTCGGTGGTATGTTTGCAGAGCGGAGGTGATGTTGCTAATGGTCATCTCTGTGTGTACTGAGCGCCGTACGAGGTAGGTGAATTCCAATAAGGAACTCGTCGCGCGCACTATTTGAGGCGGGACAAGTCCGCTTATAGCAGGCAGATATATCTACATAATGAGTCAGTGCAGTCTACAGGGAAAAGTAAAGAACACTTGCCTTCATCAAGCCCTTGGAATCGTCGCCTGTCCACTGCTTGAAATTGCGACCCTGATGGAAGTGTCGTAGCTGTCACGAGTTGGTACGGCGTCTAGCCGTTTTTTTTAATTTTTCCTTTTCGCGGGCTCGAACCCGCGACCTAGCTATATAACAATGTCCTGAGGGCCCCCTCGGGCACTTTTGTCCCGAGGGGGCCCTCGGGACAACACCTTTTTCTGATTTCAAATGATTCAATTTTGTCAAATCTCCTTGTGCTCATATCTTCTCCTCGTCATCGCCTCTTGCTCATTGTCGCCACCAACATTTTCACGATATCATCAATGATACTCTCAAAACTTGTCACATGCCTCTTCCCTCCATCACCATTGTCTTCTCATCGTCAATGTTCTCTTCCACCCATCTCGTCAATGTTCTCTTCCACCCGTCTCGTCAATGTTTTCTTCCATCTGCCTCGTCAATGTTTGCTTCCACTCATCATCATCAACATGTTCTTCCATCACCATCAACAAGTCATCACTGTACACATACTCCACACCACCCTCATCCGTATTTGTGTCTTCATTGTCATTGGTTTCATAACTTCCTTTTATGCTGCCCATTCCTGTTGTCT